ATTTGGTTGATTTGGTAGGACAGGGCAAGACTCGTCAGTTCTACACAGAAGATGGTTTCCTGAAAGTGAAAGGGAACCGAGTTTATGTTCCTAAAGGAGGAGATCTGCGAAGGGCTCTTCTGGCGGAATGCCACGATACTTTGTGGGCCGATCATCCTGGTGAAGAACGCACCATGGCATTGCTTCGTCGTGCATATTATTGGCTTCAAATGGCCGATGACGTCGCTCAGTATGTGAAAATTTGTCTAGTATGCCAGAAGGATAAGTCAGACTGCTTGATGCAGACAGGACTCTTGGAACCACTAGCCGTCCCAAAAGGACATTGGGAAAGTGTTTCCCTTGATTTCATCACCGGATTGCCCAAGGTCGGAGATCTCACAAGTATCTTGGTTGTGGTGGATCGGTTTTCCAAGTATGCTACCTTTATAGCAGCCCCACAGTATATATCAGCAGAAGATACATCTCGACTCTTCTTTTCTCATGTCGTCAAATATTGGGGCCTACCTAAAGACATCGTTAGTGATCGCGACTCACGCTTCACTAACAACCTTTGGACCCAACTCTTTAAGTGCCTTGGGTCAAAGTTGAGTCACAACTCAAGTTTTTATCCGCAATCTGATGGCCAGACGAAGCGATTCAATGGCATGCTAGAGGAATATCTCCGGCACTTTGTAACCGGATCGCAGAAGAACTGGGTGATTCTGGATACTGCTCAACTGTGTTTCAATTCACAAAAAGCTCAAGTACCAACAAAAGCATTTTTGAAATTGTTACCGGATAGCAACCGCTACTCCCACATACTGTGAATGCACCAAACATGTTAAAATTTCCTCGGGCTGCTAGCTTCTCAAAAGAATAGAAGCAAAATTTGGAGATAGTGTAGAGCTATCTTGTCAAAGCTCAAAAGCGGATGAAGATGCATGCTGATCAGAATCGCCGTTTTGTTAAATACCAAGTGGGAGACAAAGTGATGGTCAAAATCCCAAAGCGGTTATTGTTTGCAGGGGCCCATGACCCTCGCCTATTGCAAAAATATATTGGACCCTTGTCCATTGAAAGACGCATTGAAAAAGTTGCATACAGGGTGGATACCCCAGCTTGGTGGAAAATCCATTCCGTTTTCCATGTCAGTCTCCTGAAACCTTTTCGGGAAGATATGGAGGACCCTTCACGAAGCCAACTCACAATACCAAGTATTCGAGGTCCCAATTCAACCAGGAAAAGGCGTGCTGAAGCTATTCTTGATGATCGAGTGATTCACGCCTTAAGGAAAGATCACCAGGAGTTCTTGGTGAAATGGCAGGGATGTGATGCAGAAAAGAATACCTGGGAGAGGGGAACAAACCTCAAAGCCTACAAGAGCCTGATTGATGATTATCTTGCAAGTAAGGTGCCGAAGACGTCGCCAACTCAGGTGGGGGAGAATGTCATGGGCGGCTTTCCAGCCATGCCCATGACCCCTTGAACGCGTGCCCCGTGGCGTCCTGGCAAGCCTCCCAACGCCCAGCGCCACGGTCGGCCTCGTGGTCTCGACAGCTCCAAGTGACAAGCGCGCATGTGCCTCTGTCGCCCCACCGCTAGCCATCACCAGCGTCCAGCCACAGGCAGATGCCAACAACGCCGCGCGCGCAGACGACGCCGTGTGCGCAGACCCTAATGCTAAAGACAAAGTTGCTGCCAACGGACTTGTTTCTACTTTGTAGAAGATTAAGTCCTTTTCATTGTAAATATAGAGTAGTTTTACTGCATTTTCTTTAAGTGTGCTTTTACAGCTTATTTAGGTCAAGTCATGCAACTTTGATTTATTTTTTTAAAGCATTATTAAGTGGGACCAAGCAATCAAACTTTCTAACAAGCAAACAATTCTCTATACTTGTGTCTCTCCTCCCGACACCGTGTTATTTTTCTGTAATAGCTTTCATTCAATGCAATCAAACTTTCTCTTTCATTCTCAATTTTCTTTTCTGCTCTCTCAATTGCTCATGACATTGGTTTTTCCGTACGACACTGACAATCTAGTCTAGCTTACGGAGGGGACCTCAGTTGGCGGACAGTAATCGCACTGACATCGATTGCTTCCAAAGAATCTCAGGAAGGCACCGCATAACATAACACATGCATATATAGATAATTTAATGGATTTAGCAATATCAGTCAACTATTTCGAGGGAAAAAACAAAGAAAGAAAGGGAACTTTCAATAATAGACAGCTGTATCATCTTGTGAATCCTTTAGTGAAATAATGCGACAAATGCTGATTTTGACTCTTTCCAGTTCCCACTATGGCATATGGGAACTTTACTATACTATTATAGGATTCCTCACTAGGTGGTTATTAAATACACTTTTAAATATGTATTTCATAATTTGTTACTATTCACTTATATTAAAGTGTACAAATCCCTCTGTTTCTTGGTCAATGATTGACAACTACATGAGTGGACTAATAATTCATATTACACAAAGAAATTACTATTGGTGACATAATACGTTACCACATTATGATAAAGGGTGAATCTATCTCAGCTTACCTTCCAATCAACATCATTTTTTGTCCTCTACCATACGTTCCAACCCTTGAACCTATCTACCTCATTTCCACATCATATATATACAATGTATACATTCACACACTCACTTCTTCTTGGATAGGTTCGAATATATAGGGTCAAAGAAACAGCACGAGAAAATGGAAGGATACACCAAGATCAACGGAAACAACACTAGCAACAAATCAAGATCCACAGATTTCTCAGATCTCCAATCTTTCCCCCAACCCCACAAAACAAATGAGAATCTTAGCCCAAACCACACAACACTTAATGAGGTTCAGATCAAGAACATATATATTGAATCCATATCGAAAAACCAACACATCAAGAACCAAGAAACCCATGATGGAAATGAAAATGAAAATGAAGATGGCATTGCCAATGATGAAAAAAGGGAGTGCAACAACAATATTCCCAGTGGTGTGAAGTTGAGCAGGGCTTGCTCTGTTTCAGCAGCAGCTTCAGCAAACAGGTTCAAGCTAGAAAGACAAGGAAGCAAGAGGAGTACTACATCAACATCATTTCAATCAGTGAAGAGAGTTTTTTCAATGAGAAGATCTTCATCAGTTTCTGAGAAGTATTGCAGGATCCATGATCAGGGATTCACCATTTCGTCTCCAGTATTGGATGATGTTGCTGAAGCTAATGAAGGTATGGAGATTAAGAAGAAGAAAAGTGGAAGTGGCAGAATCCTAAAAGCCTGTAAGCGCCTTTTTGGAATCTAAAAGTCATTACAAAAAAGTACTCAGTTCATTCTTTCTTTAAAATAAATTAATTTAATTCAGTTATGCTTTTTCAAAGTCAAAAGAGTTTTGTAGTCACTGGCTACACTCATATGGAGTATGTATTGTTCATTACTCCCCAGCCCCCCACACCCAACATTTTGTCCAAGCTCATGAATGAAACGCCACCTTCGTGAGTCGAAGTCAATGGTTCAGAATGGATGTGATCTATTATATATTTATACTTTTAATATTTTGTTTTGAATATGCATCTGCGGTTCGAGTAACTAGTAGCAGGTTCAGTTGATCTCACTGAACGCGCTCTAAATCCGCCTCTAACCTTATCCCTCACAAAAGAAAAGTTTGTACATGTATGTACTCTAGAAAGGAACTCCTGCAGTCCTATTTCAATCTTGAGAATGTTAAATCTTTGGTAATATATCTTTCTCTTTTGTGAACTTCTTCTTTGTATATAGTAGTTTCTTATTTCAGATGATGGGAGTTTTGTTATGGAACTTAGGTCTTGCCCTGCTTAACTATTTTATTTTAGTTGCAAAGTGTTATATTTATATATTTGCTTTTAAGATGGTAAAATAACCTTTTAAGCTCTTTTTAGCTTAAGTTACTGGTTTGCAAAGTTAAAAAGAACTTAAAAAATATGTCAAAAGCAATAGGCTGGACAACCCAAATTTATTACTTTTTGGCTTAAAACCCATTTTTTAAAGTCAATCCAAACGATCTCTAACAATGTCGGTAGTTAATAAAGTTGAGTGTTCAAAACGGAGGTGATTAGTAGGTAGTTCCAAAACATGTAATATGCTTAACTGTTGATTAGTTTATTATGGAGTCAAAGTTAAATTTAGGATGTTTGACTATGAGGAAGCTGATTGAGATCCAAATCTAGGCATAAACTAATGACTTTCCAATTCAAAGCTTTGCCAGTAACTAATAAAAGTGAATTAACAATTGAGGGTGGAAAGTGAGGGTGAAGTTATGAGAGAACATTGGGCCAAAAAAGCAAAAGAAAAAACAAGTAAAATCTAAATATTGAACAAAAGAAAAGGAAAAATGAGTTTAAAATAAGCGAAATATCAACAAGCATGTGATCATCACACAATGAAGACAAAAATGGAAGTACCAACATTGCATTTGGCTTCACTTTAGGATCCATTAGAGGTCACTAATTATAAACCACAAAACAATATTATACATATATATCCTTGTCACGGCCATCAAAGTCAGGTCTTTTAGTTGTTCAAAAATGATCAAGAAGTGGAGGAAGAAACTCAGTCGAAGACTCCTAGCCTCAATCTTGTTAAAGATTACAAAATATTGGTAATGTTGAACACAAGATATGATTACAAATATATACATTTAAAACAAAGTAATATGACATTTTCAGAGTAAAAGTTTGTTTTTGAACAACCTATAAACCAAAATGAATAATGTACAGCACGTATCATGTACTCCCTCTATCTCAATTTGCTTGGTAGTTGGTATAATCAAAGCCTTTTCTAGTATTCATTAAAAGTTCATGTCAGTACTGCTTGATAAATCAAAGGTTACAATTTGAAGTTTAGTGTTACAAATTTGAATCAGGTGACCTTCAAACCATGGTAAATATTTACCCGCATCAGGTATGGAACCAAATATGTGTTTGTAAGGAGACTCATCTCACTTAATAATTAATATATATATATATATATATATATATATTTTCACCTAATAAAATTATTTAATCATGGTAAATTGATACAATTTAGTATAAACACACGATACGAATAACTTTTTACGACCAACCATTGTTATCTAATGGAGTCTTACCCTTTTCCCATCGTAATGTCTAATAAGCATACATCAATTTCAATTACTGATCTTATGTCATATAGATAAAATAATACAACATATCAACAAGTTCTAATTATACCAAGCACTTAAGAGCCTCCCAACTTCAAAAGAAAGATAAGCATCAAGGCAAGCATAACATATCTGCTTAGGGCTAAGCCAACGCTGATCCCAAGCACTCATAGTCACACTCTTGGGCTTCACAATCTCTATTCCCACTATTTCCTTCGCCAAATCCTTCAGCCCCGCCGTGCGAAGTTCCTTCTTCTCCAGCTCCACCGCCGCCCACTCCCGGAGATCAACCGTGTTCAACACGTCGACTCCATAATCGTCCCACAGCTTCTTCACGTCACTCTTAATACCAACCCCAACGAATCTGTAGTCGTCGTTCTGGAGGAAGTTGCGGAGTCGGCGGGGGATTTTGGTGGAGTGAAGAATTTGGTAAATAAGACAGGATTTTCCGACACAGAGTTGGATGGTGGCGACGGGGTTGTTTGCGGTGGCAGTGAAGTTGGGGAGCCACTCGATGTCGAGGCCGACAATCAAGCGGTGGAGACGGGATTCGTTTGAAATTTCGATCTTCTTAATCCATGCGGACACCGAACCGGGATCATGAGTGACAGCGGTTTCGATTTCGACATCGTCCAACATCACTTCGTATAATTTGTGTGGACATTTGCAGGTTAATTCGTACTCCCTGATCTTCACATTCATGGCGTTTTCAAAAGCAAGAACGCTACCTCTACACTCAATCTAGTTGTGAATTTTGATGCTAGAAATAGTAAATTTAGGGTTGTTAAATGATAGGCTGGGTCAAGTCTGTCGTGTGAAGTTCACTCATTGGATCAAAATATATTCTTTTTAGTGGAAAATAAGTTTTGCACTTAACCCGAAATGTACAGTCAGAGCCCATTGGATAAAATCAAGATAAAAGACAAAAGTAAATTTTGGTACTAACTTTTATTTTTCCAAGATATTTTTTCTTCCCCACACCAAATTATATTCCCTTTCTTACATATCACGCTTCACTTTTTACTCTTTCTATATGTTTTTACTTTTTTTCTTCAATTCTTTTAATTCTAGCACCTTTTTTCTCTCTTACTTTTACTTTTTTTAATACTATTTAATATGAGATTTAATGATAGGCAAAATGCAGCAATATATATAGTATCCTAAGTTCGACAGTGTATCCCTAGTATATATATTGAGTGCAACATGTGTGTATATATGTATGTATAAAGTTGTACATACAGGATAATTTTAATAAATTATAGTTTTGTAGAAAAATTATATACATATTATTTTGCAATGTATAATATTGTGTATATATTGTATCCTAAGTTTGACAGTGTATCCTTAGTGTATATTGAGCCTATCTCGAGTGTGCTTGTGTATCTAAAGTGTATATTTAGTGTATCCCAATTGTATTTTGTATCATGAATGTATAATCTGTCTAAACAATGTATCAAAATCGTATACACATGTGTATTGTCTAATATGTAAATATAGTATATATAAATTATATACATATTTTGTACGTGTAATGTGTGCACACCGTGTATTTAGAGTGTATCACGTATTTTGAAATGTATTCCCAATGTATCATTAATGTATTCCCGGTGCTTTTGTGTATTCAAAGTGTATAGTGACAGTCTATTGTATATAAATTGTACGATGACAGTCTATTTTATATATTTTTTTGTATAGTGACAGTCTTTTTTATATATATTTTGTATAGTGACATCTATTTTGTATATTTTTTATATAATGACAGTCTATTTAGTATATAAGTTGTATATTGATAGTCTATTTTGGATATTTTTTATATAGTGACAGATTATTTGTACATTTGTTTTTGTATAGTAAGAGTCTCTTTTGTATATTGAATGACTACACGTTTGTAAAACCAGTCATTACATAATTGATGTGATGTATCTTACTGTGATTTTTAATTATTTATTGTCTGTTAGTGTATCAAGGAATTGTAACAAACGGAGTATACTCCACGGATCCTGTGTGTGAACCTACATAGTATTATATAAATAAAATTTCCAGTTTCTCAAAAGTAAAAAAAAGAAAAAAAGGAGTATACTCCACAATTCTGAAAAGGAAAGATGCAAAACAAGCAAAAACGAAAAATTAATTTTTGTGAAAATTGTATATAATTATCGGTTGACAACTGGAGTTTATTTGTGAAATATCTATAGACCCCAACAAGACTTCTTTATGATCACCTCCACCTTCATGTCCACTGAATATGCCGCCATCCCAATTAAAGAGCTAAAGCCCTTAAGCTTGCTGTTTTACACTTATCTTCTTCTTCGGCGAATGGTAAAGCAGTAGCAACTCAAGCTCTACACAGTGCTTTTCCACGAGAAGATAATCTCCTTCACCCTGCTACTTCTGAAGTATATCCAATTCTGCTCTGATTATTTTGTTGATCGTTCTTATTTTGTGGGATATTTGAAATTCTTGGAAAAAAATAGAAAATTTGTTGAAGAAAAATATATTTTTTCTTGTGAATTTTCCTTAATCTGATTGATGAGAAAACATGGGAAAGAGTTGGGACATAGTTAAATCCTCTGTTTGTCAATATCGGTGGACTGTTATCCATTCCTGCAAACTCCAGTTTGCCAATTTCGCTGGCTAACCGCTAGAATTACTTTTGGGCTATAAAATATATATTATAATTTTTGGCTACCGGGTGTTATAAGTTTAGCCCGAGTGACTATAAATAAATTTTGCTCTACTTAAAATCCGTTATTGGGGGGGGGGGGGGGGATGTCACCACGACAAAAATACTTATAACGATCTCAGGGTGTGGACCAATAGAGACAACATTTCAACAGGCCCACGTGAAATTGGGCTCAAGAATTAAGCATGATACGTACAACCTAGTGATTAATAAAGTGAGAAAAGATCCATAAGATTTTAAGTTTAAACTCTTAGCAAAGGATAAAAATTAGGCGATTTCTTTCCCTTTTGCCTCAACTTTGTTTTTGTTGGGACATAATTACCTAATATCTATGCAGGTGGGAAATATTCGGTGGAATAGTCAAGTTGCGCAAGCTATAAAGTGCAGGTTAAGGTTTGAGTACTTTGTTCAAGTTTGATAGTCACATGGGTTTAATTTAGATTCCAATAAAAGTCTCAATTTTTATAATTTTTGAGTGTTACATTTTTCTATTATATTATTTTCTATTATATAGAAAAGGGAAGATAGTCGACCAAGGGTAGAAGAGTCATTTCGCTCAGCCATAAAGTGCTTGCCTTTGTAACTCTGTTATTGAGCTTTTCATCTGACGCCTCTCTTCATCTTCTTTTCTTACCTACTTCTCAATTCTATTCGCTCTTCTTAGATGTGGTGTTGAATTTTCAGGTTAGCTATTCTTACGATTTTTGCCCAAATCTTCTCTTTATTTTTAAATCTGCATATACTTTTATTGGTTTCTAAAAAATCTTATAGTATGACTCTTCTGTAAAGAAGAATATCGGAGAAGGGGAGAAGAGGAAAGAAGAAGAGAAGAATTTAGAGAGGAAATTGGATAGATTTTCATTCATACTAATCATTGTAATACAAACAAATATAAATAACGACTAACTCTGCCAAATCCGTTACCTAGGGATCTGGAAAAATGACATTTGGCAGCTTGTGACATCACCTCTACTCTAACAAACTTAAGGACTCAAAAAACTGAAATTTGAATTATATTGGACTAATTTTTTACTAATAAAACTATGGAACTAAAGTGTAAACTCTTATCAACTGAATTAACTACTACTACTCATTCTTATGACAAACCCCGCCCCTTATAGAACTTTGTCCTCACGGTTCAAAATATGGAAACTGAGATTTGATGAAGCTCTAATCTTCCCAAGTGGACTCTTCCGGAAGCAAGTTGGACCATTGAATCAAAACTTGTGTCACTGTCTAGTTACCTCTCTTGATCATTCTTCTTCCTAAAATAGCAACTCGCTCAGTCATAGGAGCACCATCAGGAGTACATGTAGGGAGATCAATACGGGCAACTATATCAGTGCCTATTTTCCTTTTGAGCTGTGAGACATGAAAAACTGGATGGATTGTTGCTATGGAAGGAAGTTGTAACTCATAAGCAGTATTGTCAATCTTCTTAATCACCTGATATGGACCATAAAACTTGGATGAGAGTTTGAGGCTTTTCCGGATTGCCACCGAAGACTGCCTATAGGGCTGAAGCTTAAGATAAACCCAATCTCCTACTAAAAATTCTCTGTCAGTTCTATGTTTATCTGCTTGTTGCTTCATTCTGTTTTGAGCTTTTCTGAGACTTTCCTACAGCACTTTAGCCATCACTTGCCTCTCATTTAGCCATTGGTCTACAAAATCAACTTTGCTTTGGGCTACTATTTAATTATCAATTGTGGAGGTTCATAACCATAAACAACCTGAAATGGGGTCATTTGCAATGCAGAGTGGAAGGATGTGTTGTACCAAAACTCAGCTAAAGAGAGCCACTGGTTCCATGCCTTTGGTTTGTGACTTGTCATGCATCTGGGATATGTTTTAAGGAACCTATTTAGCCTTTCTGATTGACCATCTGTTTGGGGATGGTAAGCTGAGCTCATGTGTAATTCAGTCTTCAACAACTTAACAAGTTCCCTCCAGAAGATGCTTGTGAACACTATCTTTGTCAGACACTATGCTTTGGGGAAGACCATGTAGCTTATACAGTTGATATAGGAAGGCCTTAGCAACATGGGCTGTATTGAATGGATGAAGGAGTGGAATAAAGTGTGCACATTTGCTGAACCTGTCAATCACCACCAGAAATGTGTTTCCAAGGGTGGTCTGGGATTGGCAAGGGTTGTAGCAATCCTGGAGGTGCTATGTTTTCAGTCTTGTTTCTTTGACAAGTATCACACTCTTGCACTACCCTTTGGATATCTGATTGCATAGATGGCCAATAGAATAGTGAACTCAACCTTTTTTAAGTTGCTAGTACTCCAGAATGACCACTTAGGGCTGATGAGTGCATTGCCTTGATTAGCTGTTGCCTCATGTTACCCTTGCTTCCTATCCATAGTTTGCCCAGATGCCTTAACAGTCCATTCACTACTTGATTGGTTGCACTTCCACTTGGATTTTGTGTAAGTTTAGAAATGAGCTGGTTCACTTCCTCATCTCCCTGATAACTTTCTAACACTTCTTGATCCCAAATTGGCTTAATGCTGGTGATAACATTACAATGTCCTGAGATTTTTCTAGACAAGGCATCAACAGCTGAATTCTCGCTTCCTTTCCTATATTGGATGTCAAAGTTTAGCCCAAGTAACTTAGTTAGTCCCTTGTGTTGCAGCATAGTAGATATCCTCTGGTCTTTTAGGAATTTGAGACTGAAATGGTCAGTCTTGACTGTGAAGAAGTTCTGCTGCAAGTAGTGTCTCCACTTGTCTACTGCTAGTAATAAAGCCATCAATTCCTTCTCATAAGTTGATAGTCCCTGGTGTTTAGGACTGAGGACTTGACTCAAATAGGCTATTGGGTGATGCTCTTGCATGAGAATGACTCCAATACCTGAACCACTAGTATCAACTTCTACTGTAAAGGACTTGGAAAAATCAGGTAAATCCAATACTGGAGCCTTAACCATTGCATCTTTGAGTTTTTCAAATGCAATCGTAGCTTCTTCAGTCCATGCAAAATTACTCTTTTTGAGTAGTGAAGTCAGTGGCTTGCTAATGACTCCATATCCCAATATGAATCTCATGTAATAGTTAGCGAGCCCTAGGAACCCCCTTAGATCCTTGATATTTGTTGGTCTAGGCCAGTGAAGCATTGTTTGGATCTTAGCAGGATCTGTTTGCACTCCATTTCCTAAAATGATATGGCCAAGGTAGTCCACTTGTGGTTGAGCAAACGAGCATTTAGATATCTTGGCATATAGTTGGTGCTTTCTCAGCAGTTAAAGCACCTTTTCCAAATGCCTCAAGTGGCTGCTCAGGTCTGGACTGTAGACTAAGATATCATCAAAAAATACCAAGATGAACTTCTTGAGGTACTCCCCAAACACCTGGTGCATCAGTGCCTGGAATATAGCAGGTGCATTAGTCAGCCCAAAGGGCATGACCTTGAATTGCCATAGCCCATGATATGTTCTGAATGCAGTATTGAACTCATTAGATTCCTTCATCCTCACTTGATGATAACCAGCCCTAAGATCAATCTTAGAAAACAGAACTGCCCCTTTGAGTTCATCCAATAAGTCTTCTACTACTGGAATGAGATATTTGTTCTTGACAGTCATTGCATTCATCTTTTTGTAGTCAATGCATAACCTCCATGTGGAGTCCTTCTTTTTGACCAAGAGAGATGATGAGGCAAAGCAAGATTGGCTAGGCACCACAGTCCTAACTTTGAGCATTTCTGTAATCATTTGTTCAATTGCATCCTTTTGGTCATGGGAGTATCTATAAGGCCTTAGACTGAAAGGGTGAGCTTCTGGCAATAAGGTGATGGTGTGGTCACAACTTCTTTTGGGAGGCAGGGCCTTTGGTTCCTCAAAGACATCATCACGCTTCTGCAACAACTCTAAAATTGGTATGGACACCTCTATTTCTGGAGTATGCTTGGATGGGTCATACAATTGCACCAGACAACAACTGCTCCC